AATCCAGCCTAAGACACCCAGCATAGTAGGCTAAATTATATGCCTGTCAAATTCAAAGTCACAAATATCATTCCATGTCAGCTCACTAATGCTTGGATAGCAATGTTTATGCCTTCCATTTAATTTTTCACAACTTATTTTTCTAGACTGATATTTTGTACCTTCCATATTCAATTATTACATCTTTACAGCTGTTTCTTTTCACTTTGAGTCACGCCTCTATCAGCAAATGAAGGCCTTGAAAGCTTTACTCCATCCATGTCATTAAAGTCGACTCCACTTCCCATGAGTTAAGGAGCAGGCTGCGAACTACAAGTCCGCAGCTGAATCCCACCAGTCCCTCCGAGAGTGAAAGAGGAAGCTGGCTGCTCTCAGATTGACAGTCTCAGAAACTCTCTATTGGGCTGCTCCTACCAGTTGGAATTGACTCCAGGGCAGTTTTTGTTGTGTTTTTCTCATTTGAGGACTGTGACAGCTGTGTTTTGCGTCATCTTACCTGGGCCAGGGTTCTTACTCTGTGAGTAGCCAAGCTCTCTTCATCAGGTCCCAGCCATGATGCAATTAGAAGACGCCTCATGGGTGTCACCTACTCCCTTTGAAGCAGATTCTGTCACTTCTGCTAGACACAGATCCTGTATCTGGTTCGTGAACATCCTGCCATATTGCCTGCCGATTTCAGGAGCCTTTAGCAGCCGCTAACTTGCGTCTAATTCAACTTTGCATCCGCTAGCTTGCGGTCCTCTTGCTCCTGGTTTGTCAGTTCCCAGCTACACGAATCAAGAGATGCCTCCAATTTAACATCTGACCCATGGACTTCAACTGGATGGAACTTACTTCTACCACAAGTGATCCATTTTTGGATATAAACGTCTTTCTATGCACATAGAAGGCGCACCGGGTTGTTTCTGGAGAGAACCCAGCCGAACACAAGAAGGCAGCTCCTTCCTGGGATGACCGTCAGTGCTTTCCGGCCGAGGTGCTCCTAGCCTGGCTCTGCATCAGACAATGTGCTGCTCTCACTCGGAAGGCTCTCACGGTATTTTCAAGCAAGCTCTTCCTCCTACGGTTTTACTCCAGAAGTTCTGCTCACACCGGCCCAGCCACCGTAGGTGATTCTGCTCTATTTCACATGCCAGGGGCATCGCTTTGCATATCACCGCAACATGCACACCCCACAGTGTGACAAACTTGACAGACTAGTGGTAATTCGTTTAATTGGGAAGTGTAAATCTTCTGTGCCACCCAGGGATCCTGACACTAGGGGCAGCTGTAGTTTTACAAACACTAAAACTAGATTGCTTGGTTGTTTTTTGGTCCCTCATCCAAGTCTTTAATTAAAGCATACATACAGAGAGGAGCAGCGACTCTACAACATTTCCCTGGGGCAATATTTTTCAACTTCTGTTTACCTATTACACCCCCTGTATTTCGCTAGTCAAACTTTGTCTGTAATACGTACTCACACAAACAAGAGGTATTTTGAATATATTTTTTCAGTTAGCATGCTATTACTGATTCTGAAACCTTCTTTTTTAATGCAGCTAATCAGTTACAAATGAATCTATTGAACATTATCAGCAATGCTCAAATTTCTCCTCCATTCCCTCCACAAAGATTTCAGTAGTGGACACATTTTTTTCTTCTTCTACAAGTGCCTATAGTAAAACTAAAATATTTGGCTAGCAACGATGTCATATCCCAGAAAACAGTTACTCTTAAAAGTCTGTTGAATTTCTAAAGTTACTTTATTATAAAGGACACCAATGAATATTGCTTCCAATTTAAAAAAAATGTTCACGGTAACATTGAAAGGAACTGAAATGCATCCAAAATGAAGCACAAAATAAAAACTCTGTATCCCCCAAAACAATGCTTACTTAAAATGAATTAAAAGCACAAGACAGTAAAATGGTCAAGAGAACATTCATAAAAGCTATCCCTGAGGCATTTACGTGACATGCTGTAAACGCTCTTCTAGATTCGTCTTTAGAAAACCCTGGTAACCATGACTGCCAGGTAGTGGTGGTTGTTGGTTGCTGTCATGTTAATTCTGACTCATAATGTTGTCATGTGTGACAGTACAACTGCTCAGTAGGGCTTTTTGGCCTGTATCCTTAACAGTCTCAGATGGCCAGGGTACACCGACTGATCACCCACTCCAAAAGTAACACATCTACATCAATAATAGAACATACTAGACTGAGAAATTAGCCAAAATCAGAGCCAACAAAGTGCAAGGAGTAGATCTGCGTAAGATCAATCTTAGGCTGGGTCACTGGGACGGGGATGTTGCCTTCGCAGCAGCCCATCAACATTTTCCAAGTTGAGTAAGTGACAAGATAACTGAAAGTTAATATACTTTAGAATAACTTTGGGATCTCAAAATTTATTTTTTAAATTTAATTTCGCATATTCCTACAATCTGTAATAATCTTAAAATCTACCCCCAACAACCAAAAATGATTTCAACATGAAATGAACTTGAATCGTCTGATCCAAGAAAGGTATATATTACATAAAATCTAAGTAATCTACGTGGATGACGTGGCTGTAAGACAGGAGACAAGATGAGGCATGTGGAACTGGGGAATGAGACAGGCATGGATGGTGCTGGCCACATCGTGAGCAGAGAGGGATGAAGATGAGTGACAGCCCACACACTGGCACTGCCCCTCCCGTGAGACCCAGAGAGAACCAAGTCTGGGCCAGGCCAAGAGGCAAACTGTGCCAGACTGTGGCAAGAGGGGAACAGGAATGAATTTGTATGATGAAGGGCAGAGGACTGGAGGCAGGGAGAATGAGATTTTTGAATGGAAAATTGTTTATCATAATTTGAATCCCACGACACAACTGCTCACTCCTCTTCCTTGCCTCATGCCCGCTCGCCTTCTGGAGTGGTCTCTGGCATGGAGGGGTCACGGATGAGGTGGGCTGTCCCAGTGCACCCCTACAACTTGTCTGCCAGTCAGTCTGTGGGGGCTTGTGTGTTGCTCTAAGCTATGTCACTGGTATTCCCAATACCAGAAGGGTCACGTAAACTGAGTAGGTTTTAACAGAGCTTCCAGACTAAGACAAGACTACAAAGAAGGAATAGGTTGTTCATTTCAGAGGACTTGGTTGTTGAAAACCTTATAGATAGCATCAAACATCGTCAGATACTGAAGGCCTACTGAACAGAAGCAGAATTGTCAGAGAGGGTGCCAGAAGATGAGGCCCTTAGGTCAAAAGGCACTTAAACTATGACTGAGGAAGAGCTGCCTTCTCAGATTAGAGTTGATCATAACCACATGGATGGAGTAATGCCCATGGGAATAAAACCTTCAGGATATTTATTTGTTGATGGGATATGACTCAAAATGAAAAGAAACAGCTGCAAAATCTACTATTAATGGCAACTGGAAATGTTCACAGTAAAAATCCAGGAAAATTGGAAGTTGTCAAAAGTGAAACGGAAGACATAAAGATCGAAATCCTAGGTGTTAGTGAGCTGAAATAGACCGGTATTGGCTATTCTGAATCAATGAACTCTATGGTTTACTATGCTGGGAATGACACAAGAGAAATGATGTTGCATTCATCTATTTTTTCAGGTGGAATACACAGAAATCAAAAGGGCCACATCTCTGGGAAAAGATAACAGAGAAGCTCAATATCAGCAGCTAAAACCAGGCCAGGATCTGTTGGTAGAAAAGACCATCAATTGTTCATAACATAAACGGAAAGAACGAAGAAAACATTCAAGCCTCAAGTCGCAATACTGAAAGATTCTATGTGCAAAATACTGGAATGATGCAGGAAGCATTCAAAAAATGGAAAGAATACACAAGATCACTGCACCAAAAAGAACTAGTGAGCACCCCCCCATTTCCGGAAGGGAGCTTACGAGTGAGCACCAATAGGAAGGAAGGAAGACACTGAACCTGCCTGAAGTAATAGCCAAGCGCACACCTGAAGGCAGGGAACTATGTCAACAAGCTGAACGGACACAGCAGTGGGTTCAAACACAGGAACAAGTGAGAGATGGCAGGGACGCAGCAATGTCTCATTCTGTCACAGGCAGGGTCACTATGTGTCAGAAGTGACTGGATGACACCTAACAACAACAGAATTTGAATCCTATTTAAAAAAAAAAAAAAAAAGCCACCTGGTCTTTCCAAGCCTTGGGGAGAAGCCGCTGTGGATGGTTCGCAAACAGACACGCTCCTGTCGCTTGAGTTCATGCCTTATGTGCGTGCTCTAGGATACTCAGCAAAACAAGGAATCTACTTCTATTAAGTTGCTTCTGACTCACAGCAGCCCTGCATAGGATTCCTGAGGAAAGAGTGTGGCTGGTGGCTGTGAACCACCAACTTAGCAGTTAGCAGTCCAAGACCCACCATCAAGGCTTCTTCGTAGAACTCAAGATCCTTGTACTTTGGCTTTGCTAACCATCTCTCACAAGCCATTTAACTGTCCCTTCTCTGAGACGAATGTTCACTGTCTATAAAAATAACATGAAGTATACACTCCCCCCCCCCAACAAAGCTGCAATATGAATTTTACAAACCACTCAGTAGCTGAGTGAGAAAAAGCATTTATAGCTCAAATAATTCCTACTCCTATGGATAAAAATTTACAAGTCTACCAAGTGCCCATAGACTGGGTCATATAGTATTCAAATAGAAAAAGTGAGATTCACTTAAATAATAATAGCTCATAGTTAAGATATTATAGAAAACTTGATTTTTAAAACCTCAAAACTTTTCCTATCAAGCATAGTTCATTATTAAAACTTAAAAAGGCAAACTGCATTATACATTTTAACATTTTGGGATATTGCAAATAGTATTAGTATTTTGATCCCCTATTATGTATTTTTGGGGAACAAAATTTTCCCTACAGTCTGGGTCTGAGGAATTTTTCAGTTTTGGAAAACTGAAGGAGGCCATCTTGCGTGCTTTATAAAAAGCAACATCCCTCAGCTCTCAATCTGGGGCAAAAGGTTGTGAAAACACACTTACCTCCACATCACAAGTATATTCGGATCCATCCAGAAGAATCACTTTGCACTGCATGCTTTTGGGCTTTTTGACAATCTTCAATGGAGAACGAGATAATTTGCTGCTAAATGATCTCTGAGAAAGTTTATCGTCTTCAAATTGCTGATACTCAAGCTGTTTTGCCGCTGCGGCAGCAAACGCCTGTTCCTTTTCAGTGGCCTGTGAAGAGCAAACAAAGACCCGTTTTCACTGCAAGGCAGAAAACAAATATTGCATTGCTTGGGCATAATAGCAGAACATGTTAGAAACAGACTTTCTCATTTCTTAGAGGATTAGAGATGTTTGAACTAGGGCATTAAAGATAGAAATACACATGTAGATACATATAATGATAGCAGTTCAAATAAGTAACTTATGCTATTTAAATATACCAACAGGATTTTACTCAAGGATTTAATTCAGAAGGATTGTGTTGGGCTGCTAATTGCAAAGTGAGCAGTTTGAAACCACCAGATGCTCCTTGGGAGAGAGATGAGGCTTTCTACCCCTTTACAGGAGTTATAATCCTGGGAACATACAGGGGCAGTTCTACCCTAGCCTACAGGGTTACTTTGAATCAAAATGGCATTGCGTTTGTTCTTTCTCTTAGAGGTATGTTATAAATTGAAACCAGTTGGAATATAGTGGGCTGGGTTTGTTTCTGGAGTTTTGGTGTTAGCAGATGACATTTATAGTTCAGTAAGCAACGAAAGTTACAAATGACTCTGGACTTAAAAAAAAAGTGCACCAGGTAGTATAAAAAATAAATCCTCTGTAGTTTAGCTACCACACTCTATTTTCTTAATTCACTGATACTTTCATATTCAATGACTTGTTATAAATTCATCTTCGTGCAAGATATCTTATAAAGCATTAAGGCCTGGAGTGTTTCAAAAGCCATAAGCTTCTTAGTAATTTCACAGTTGTTAAAATATTTGATTCAGCAGCACTGAAATTCATGACCCAGTGATCCACTAAATCCACTAAACTGATAAGATTAAGAATTGATTAAGTGGGCCCAAAAGCTTTTATCTGCTTTCAAATAAAAATGCCCTACTCTCAGACAGACTCCAAACTGCACAGGCTGCCTGTGAACCAATAAATGTTCCCCTTCAGTCAATCCATCCCCATGGACACTTCTCAAAGCATTGCTCTAACTGCTCTCTTTACACCTCTCTCCTGTGTATTCAACGACCACTGAAAGTAGAATAGTATCCCAGGCTACCTCTTCCACGAGTCTGACAAATAATTCAAAGAAATATATGCAACAAAGTCTAGTACAGCCCCTTTCAGAAAGCAAGAGCATGCTAGCAGACTGGTAGATATAAAGGTTTAGGCTTGAGTGAAAACCCAGTGTGTGGACAATTTATCATTTCAACTTTAAAATTTTTTAAATGTCAGACTCAGCAATTTTACAACACTCTCATAGCATCTCAAAATCACTCCATTACTTTTCCCAGGAACCTGAGGCAACGTTTGAAAAGTTCTTAAGAATAAAAACAGATCAATTTGCTGACCTTGTAAGAGGAAGCCAAGTAAAAGTTGTGATAATCAACTTCAAAGGCCAAAAACATTCAGAAGGCAAGCTTCAGCTAAAATAAGCAAGCAAATAAAAGAAAAGCTGCTCTAATACCTTGGTCCAGTGTTTGTTGACTTCATGCCTTTCCAAACCTGACCCTGAAGATGCTGCTAAGTGCTGCTGAGCAAGTTCCCACTCACAACACAACAAAACAGGGTCTGGTCCTGCACCATCCTCATGAACATTGCTGTGGTTCAGCCCGTTAACATCATCTCGTTCATTAAAGGCCTTCCCTCTCTCACTGGCCTCGATTTTAGCAGGCACAATGACCTTCTCTAGGGACTGAACCTCCTTATGTCCAGATTGTGTGAGACCATCTCACCATTCTCACTTCTAAGGAGCATTCTGGCACCATTAAATTATAGGTATCCAAAATGTCATAATGCTGTCATTAATTTTAAAGAGAAGTTTGGCAAAGTTGGAATTTTACATCAATAGCTGTAACATATTTGTTAAGTGTTTTACAATTTATGTAAGACTTTTACACAATGAATTTAAATTTCAACCTCATTACTGGGTAAAGGCCACTATGTCACATCTGATCGAAATTTCACCTAACATTATTCATATATGTGTGCATATATATGAGTATATATATGGATTAATTTCATTTTTCCTATACTACAAATAAAAGTGTCTATATGAGAATAAACTTTTCGGGTTGCTTAAATGTCAATTCCATAATCATCTTTAACCACCAACATCCAAAGGGCAAGGCCTTGATTCTGGGAACACTTGACACATGAACAGATAACTGAGGGTCTCACAGATTGTAAGCAACTTCAACAACTCTCGAAGGGCACCACTGTGAAATGCCACATGTAGTCACATCTTAAGTCACAATCGAGAACAGAGGCAACCATTTTAGCAAGTCACCATTTGAGCTATCCCTCAGAACAGCTCGGTGAGATAGGTATTATCACCTTCATTTTCAGGACCTTAAAAAATGTTCTCAAGTTCATGAAACGTGTAAATTGGAATTCAAGTCTTGCCAAAGCCTATGTTTTAATTTTTGTTGTTGTTAGCTGCCTACCCACGGAAACCTTATTATCCACCAGAACATAGTTTTAACTTCAATGCGACTGGCTCCTGTGAAAATTAGGACTGGAACTATCTTCAAATATTTTCTTTTCTGAGCACTTAATTTTATAGATTCTGGGGCCCAGAGGACTTGAAATGAACTATTGCGGGAAGCAAGCTTAGCTTAGGTCACTTGATTTTGCATATGCTCATACGGCCTTCTAATGGCTAATTATCTTTCTTGCTTATTTAAAACATTTGACTATTGAGAGCAAAGGAAGTATCTGAATATACAAACTCATCTTTTCCTAAAATTATCCACATGTTCATGTTACTTCATTTCAGAGGCAGGAGCAAAGAACAGGGAAAACAAGCACTCAGCCTGTAATTTTAAATTTTTGAAACGTTGAAACGGAACTACCTACCACCGCCATTTCTCCTACACAAAAAGAAGTAATGAGAAAAGAGATAGAAGGGGAAAAATAAAGGAAAGCAACAGTGTCTCTGGATTCTACTCTCAAAGTTGGGATAAGATTCTCCAGTTCCTACAAGAAAACTTCTTAGACCAGACAGAAGTAACTTCTAGAATATGAAAATACATGTTATTACTAATACTGTTTAAAAGCAGAACTTGGAATGCCTGGCTAAAGCAGCTCAAAACCTGGTTGGAAACACAGTTCAGCATCAACTAGTAATGTGTTATGCTTCCAAACAATTTCACCCAACACATTGACTTCATCTTCAATACTTTCCAGCCACGTGCATAAACCTTAAACCTATACAGGCAGGTACGCTAGGGTTCTTCAGCAAAGTGTGCATTTGAAATAGGAAGTTTTAAAAGGAATTTAAACTTGAATTTATTTAAGGCACAAGCAAACCAAAACGGTGGGTGTGTTTTTTTTAGCATGTACTATAAATTGGACTGTGCTATCAAAACATAGTGTGGTGAAATCCTATACCTGTGTCCAACTACTGGTCTGTCTTGGAAGAAATATAGCCAGATACTTGGAATCTCGTGGGCATGTTACCAGGAGGGACCAATCCCTGGAGAAGAACATAATGCTTGGTAAAGAGGAGAGTCACCGAAACAGAGGAGGAGCCTCCACAACATGGACGGGAACAGTGGCTGTGACAATGGTTTCCAACACAGCAACAGCAATGATGGTGGCGCAGCAGAGGGCAACGCGGGGTTGCCATGAATGGAAGCAACGAGAGGGCAGTTAACAAGGACCACCGAACTGTGGCGTTAAGTGCTGTTCATGATGCAACCTGAATGCAAGGTATGTGATTTATTATTCAAAAACTTCATTTGTATTTATGTAGCTTTGTGACTGTGCTTGTGCCTTCAATGCTTTCACAAGGACACTTTTTGCTCCTCCACAGGAGAGCCCACGTGATCCTATCTCGGACACATCTAGCGCATGTGGTCTTGGGGATAGAAACATAGCTGGAGATCGCATAATGAAATATTGCAAGACTAATCATTTCTTCACTGGAAATATCTTAAAAACACCACTGGAGACTGTCCACTCAAACTTCACCAAATTAAATATCCAGGTGTCAACATGACTACCTGTCTGAGAAGAGATGACGGAGAAAGGCAGTACAATTAGCCAAAACTAGGCCAAGGGACAACTGTGAAATAAACCATCAGTTTCTGCTATGGATTTTGAGGGTGAAGTTGCAGACAATTAAAATACATTGATGAGGGCCAAAATATAATCCTGAGTATATCCCACCTGGATTTCTAGGCCACCTCAAGAACAGATTCGACACACTGAAACACTAGTGACCAGACAAGTTGAGGAATGACATTAGGGCCACCATAGATCATAGGTTCCCAAACTTATTTGGTCTATGAACCCCCTTTCAAAAAAAAAAAATCACTCAGCAACCCCATGACAATGAAATACTTTTGTATGATAGCCCATAATCCAGGGTAAAGTTTAGCTATCTGCTTTTGCAGCACCCTCCAGGGTGGTATAGTTCACTCTGGGAAACAATGATATACTTAAAGAAAACAAAAGGGTATTAAAAAATGAAAAGACCAAAGTAGAGGTCAGACAATACTGAGGCAAAAGAAGGTGGAAAGACTCCATAGAGCCTTTGTACCAAAAAGCACTGGTTAACATTCAACCGTTTTAAGAGGTAAGCATCATAGAGACCAGTGGCACTGCTGCAAGAAGTTCCAGATGCACTGAAGCATTAGCGGAAAACACGGTTCCAGGAATCGATGGACTGCCCAGCAACAGCTTTCAACAAGCTGATGACGCACAGGGAGCATGCGCTTCTTTAAGCCAAGATTTCTGTAAGACTGCTACCTGACCGTCTAGAAGGTATGAATATTTTTGCCCATTTCAAAGAAGTGGGACCCAAAAGAATGCAGAAATTACTAAACAATATCATCAATAGCACATGTAAGGAAATTTTCATTGAAGGATAACTCAAAACTGACTGTAGCAATACAGTAGGGAGCTGCCAGAAATTCAAGTTGGATTCAGAAGCGAACGTTGAATGAGGGATATCATTGCTGAAAACAGATGGAACTTAGCTGAAAGCAGAAAATACCAGAAAGAAGTTTGTATTTTACTGATTATGTAAGGGAGTCGGCTAGGTGGATTATAACTAACTGGGAATACAATGTTTAGAATGGGAATTCAGAACACTGAACCGAGGGTCTGTAGAATCTGTAGGGAGACCAAGAGGCAGTAGTTGTTGGAACATAAAGCATGGTTTAAAATCAGGATTGTATTCTTTTACCATACTTACTCAATCTGAACCAATAATCTGAGAAACTGGATTACAAGAAGAATACATATTAGGATTAGAGTAAGGCTTGTAAACAACCAATGAAAAGCAAATGACATAATTTGGCTTGGTGTAAACAAAGAGGACTGATTGAAGCATTTGTCGATGGCGCTTTAGAACTGCACCATTCAGTATGGATAACAATTCAGAATACAGAAAACCACAATCCTCACAACTGGATCGACAGATAGCATCACAGTAAGTGAAGAAAGGACTGAAGGTGTCAAGATTTCTTTATACTTGGATCCACAATCAACACTTATCAAAGTAGCAGTCAAGAAATCCTATGCTGTATCTCATTGGGTAAACCCGCTGTAGAAAACCTCTTTAAAGTATTATTGAGGGCTAAGATGTACCTGACCCAAGCCACAGTATTTCTCATTGCCTCATTTGCATGTGAAAACTGGACAAAGAATGAGGATGACAGAAGAACAGGTGCATTTGAATTATGGGATTGGCAAAAAATAGCCAGAGAGCCATGGGATGCCAAAGACCACACTCAACTGTCTTAGAAGTACAGTCAGAACGCTTCTGAAGAAAGACGGTAAGACTTAGTCTCACATGGTTTGGGCCTGTTCTGATGAGAGACTAGTCCCAGGAATTCATGTGGAAGGTCAGCAAAAACATGGAAGACCCTCAACAAGATGGACTGACCTAGTGATTCTAACAAGGGGTGGAAACATCACAACAATTGTGAGGATGGTGCCGGGCCGGGCATTGCTTAGTTCTGTTGTTCCGTTCTTGAGTTATCATTTGGTTCTATTATAAAGGGTCACTATGAGTAGGAACTGAGTAATCACTTTCTCCTAACAACAAAAACTTAAGAAACAAGATATCCATCCTATAAATGTATATCAATAAAGCACTGATGAAGAACAGAGGTGGCAATTCCATAATAGGCTTTTTTATGGTTTACCTAAGGAGTGTAAACAATTAACAGAAAAAAGCTGTCTATTTGGAAACCACATAACTAATGCTATTAAGTAACACTACTATTAGATAATTTTCTTGAATGAATAACAGGACATACCTAAAACCGTTACAAAATATTTAATGGCTAAAAGGGAAAAAAAACAGTATGGTTGCATATGGGTTGAGACAGAATTTTTTTTTTTTTTTAAAGGAAAATGATTTTTTATTTGGAAATGATCATCCCCAATGTCATGTGCTCATATCATGCTCGATTGACTATATACATTAAGCTCAAGCCATGTGTTCCACATGTTAATGGTCCTATGTTTCTAACAAAATCAAGCAAAACAAGTCATCTGTTGCTTTGAGTCAATGCTAACTCATGGTGACTTCATGTATTCCAGAGGAGAAATGACTTTTCATAGGGTTTCCTTGGCATCATTCTGGAAGCACCTTGCTGTGTTATTTTTGTTTGCAGCACTCTTGGGTGGGGTTGAGCTGTTAGCTTTACCAGTAATAGCCAAGCGCAAAACATCAGTGGCACCAAAAGACAGTTTCGATATGTTACGTGTCATTAGTTAGTTCTGATCCATAGCGACCCTGTGGTTAACACAACGAAGTACTGCGAAGTCCCACTCCATCCTCCCAGGTGTTCCTCTGCTTGAGCCCTCGGCCACAGTCACTGTATAAACCCATTTCCTTGAGGGGCTTCCTGTTTCACTCAGACAGAAATTTTATAATCTTCAGTCCAGCTGTCAGCAGGTGTTTGTTTTAATGAAATAAACACATTACCAGGGAAGGTTGTAGAAAGTCAATCACCGAGAGCCTTAAAAACGCATAAATGGGGGTAGAAAGGGGGAAGAAATGGGGAGCAGATATCAGCGGCTCAAGTGGGAAGAGAATGCTTTGAAAATGATAATGTTGGCATATGTGCAAATGTGCTTGACCACTGGACGAATGCATGGATTATGGTAAGAGATATAACAGCCCCCAATAAAAGTTTGGTTTTTTTTAAAGAGTTGAATCAAGGATGTCATCTTTAGATTACAGTGTATTTGGCCTACCCCATGGTATTTTCTTTTCTTTTTTTTCCACAGGGGAGAGGGCAAACGCAGTCCCCCACTAGCACAAATGATGCAGTCGAGTTTCCCACATTTGGGGAAATTGCAGGGGTCAGCACATCCGGCATGCAATGGATGCGCCTCGCCCTGGGAAAACCACCTTCGTGATCATGGTACCTCCCCTGCCAGGTAAGTATAAAACCATGTCCCCCCCACCCATTGTTTCACATGTATTATACAAAAGTTGGACAATACATAAAAGACTAAAGAAGGGAAAAAAAGAGCATAACTGTCCATCTGCCTGGGACTAGACGTCCCTCACTGTTCCTTCTGTGCTAGCATACTAAAGGTAAGAGAGCCACAGAAGACGCTCAGTAACCATGCTTTAATTGGTTTTCTGATGGACTACAAAGACTCAGCTGACCCCGGAGAAATGAAGTGGAAGACGCAGGGGGGGCGCTGCGTGACTCGGCTGAGCATCGCTCTGTCGGAAGGCTCACCTCCTTTCGCACAGGGGTGCTGTGTGCAGCAGCGGCCACAAAGGGCTCCAAGACCTCCTGCTGCTCCGCTCCGGGCTCTGGACCAGGTCCCGGGGGCTGTGCCCCAGCACCGCCCTGAGGAGCTGCAGCCTCCTGGGGCTCGGCCTCTTGGTCTTGCTTGGATTCTGAGTCTGAACCGGATTCTGTCGTCATGGTTGATTGTTCTACAAGTAGAAAAAAGGAGAGAGGATCCAGTCACACAGTGCAATTATCTTCCTTAGGAGAGAAAACTAGGATGCTAAGTGCTAGGTCAGGGGGGAAAAATCACACTTAAGAACAATGGCAAATTTCTAAAATTCCAAAGACAATTCTTATGCACCTAATAAAACAAAACAAAACAAAAATCCCCAAAACCAAAACTGTGCCAAGTCAACAAATTGATTCTGACTCATAGGAGTGACCCCAAGGACAGAGCAGAACTGCTCCATTGAATATCCAAGCCTCTAAACCTTTGAGTCACTTGTATTATTTAAATTGAGCTTTAGGTGAAAGCTGAGAAAACAAATGTGGAGAGTTCCCCAGTTGCTGGTGTATAAACCTCAAGTGCTCTATAAGCCGTGGGCCCATTCCCCACCATGTGTCAGCATGCTCGCCATTCTGGCCCTGCATTGTCCATTTCTTTTCGTCTACATTTTCTTCTCGCATTTGTTTTGGGGCAAAAGTTGTCCTTTTGCTGTCCTATAATCGATGGCTCACTGGAGCACATTCCCCTCTGTTGTTGCTTGTTCTAGGGCCCGTCCATTGTTTCGCTAGAGTGGGGTCCAGAAATGGCTTCAGTCCCGGATCAGAAGGGTGTGTGTGTCTTAAGGCCAGAGCCTAGAGCAGTGGTTTTCAACCTCCCTAATGCCGCGGCCCTTTAATAGTTCCTCATGTTGTGGTGACCCCTCAACCATAACGTTATTTTCGTTGTTACCTCACAACTGTCATTTTGCTACTGTTATGAATTGGGCGACCCCTGTGAAAGGGTCATTTGACCCCCCCCAAAGGGGTCACGACCCACAGGTTGAGAACCGCTGGCCTGGAGGTTCTTTCCATCTCTGTCAGAGGAATTAACACTTCGCTTTTTAGCGAATGTGGTCTTTTGTTCGACATTTCCGTTCATTCTGGGGGGCCAGTTACTGGGATCTCAGAGCAGTAGGGAACGGTAGTTGGCATAGTCTATTTCTTCCCGACCCCATCTATAGCTCTGTGGGGAAACTCCTTTCTCCATGGAATGGCTGATGGGTTTGAACCACTACCTTTTGCTGGTTAGCAGCTGAGCAAGCCAAAAGTGTCCAAAGAGAGTTCTTATATATACACTTAATACATGACTCACTAAATTTATCTAATGAATCCCCCAATTTTAAAAAATCATTTTATTGGGGGCTCGTACAGCTCTTTTCACAATCCATCCATCCATCCATCCATCCATCCATCCATCCATTGTGTCAAGCACATTTGTATACATGTTGACATCATCATTCCAAAAACATTTTCTTTCTACTTGAACCCTTGGTATCAACGCATTCTCCCCACCCCCCTTCCCTCCATCATGAACCTTTGATAATTTATAAATTACTATTATTATTTTCTTGTCGTACACTGACCTCTGTCTCCCTTCACCCATTATTCTGTTGTCTAACCCCTTGGGAGGGGTTATATGTAGATCAGATGAACCCCCCAAATTCATAACTAACACATGAAATAATCAAAAAAACAAAGCTTATTTGATTTTGTGATCCTATTAGCTTGTTTAGCAAATCCTATTAGATTTTGCTACAGATGGCACTGTGAAAGGGCCGTAAAGTGAGAAAAATTAAGTAACAGGTGAAGTAAATTTTACAGAAATGGATTTGTTGTATCAGGTGAATATGTATGTATGTATACGCACATATACACATATATATTTAATATGTGGAGTGGGAAGAATGACACATTTTTTCTCAATTTGCTCCCCCTTCAGTATCTCCCCACTCTGCCCTTCCCAACCTGGGAGAGTGTGGTTTCATCCGCTAGGAAACGCGAACATTTTCTCATCATAGTTCTCAGAAGTCTACCACACTGTTACAACCGAGGCTTTCTCAGTGTTACACAATCTGCCCCAGCCTGAATAAGCACCTGCCACTGGCAGGGAGGGCAGCTGGCCAGCACACCTCTCCTCCAAGAGAATGCTCTCATTCCCTTTCCAGCCTCTGCCGACCCACCCATGCTTCTGGAATGTCGAAAGGCAGATCTGATGTTCTCCTATCAATAAAGAACTCAAACCAAAGATCTTAAAATGTAAGAATCAGATCCTAAACCCTGAAAGAGAAAGACCACTTAAGAGATAATCATATCTCCAACAGTTGGCTCGTGAAGATACCTAAGTATTCTGTGCCTCAGTTTCCGCCTCCGTCAAGTGAGGGAACTGCATACGATCAGACCTCTGGTGGACTTAGCTGTGTACCCGCCAAAGGTATGGAGATATGCTCAAGTCCTACTCCCCAGAACCGGTGAATGTAACCTAATTTTGAAATAGGATCTTTGCTGATGCAATCAAGCCAATATGAGGTCATATTGGATAAGGGTGGGCCCCCAATCCTAAGGCAGCCATAAGCAGACACAGAAGCACACACATGGGCAAGGCCAGGGAACATGGAGGCAGAGGGCAGCGTGATACAGCTATGAGCCAGACAATGAAAACTAGGCGGAGGCAAGGCCAAGCTTGCCTCTGACGTCTCCTGGAGAGAGAGTATGACCTGGCCGGACAGCAGATTTTGGACCTCCAGCCTCCAGAACTGAGAATAAATTTCTGTTGTTTTAAGTCAGTCTGTTGTTATGGCAACCCCAGAAAACCAATACAATATATCAAAGGAACTTTATAGTTCCTTCCATCTTGCCCCTTGCCCCCACAATGCACCTGCTACTATGTTTAAAGTATTTTGTTTGCTCTGAACAAGAGAAATTACAAGGGGGCTTCAAAAGTGTGTTGAAAATGGAATTCAAAAATAATGGAATCCTTCCACAAATGTACTGAAAACCCCTCATCTCACTCTATGCCACTATATCATTTTGTGTAATCTTTAATCATATGTGGGGCAAACTGAGGGATGTCAAAACTCTGTATCTCAGACTGTCATATAATTTCCCTGCCTCTAATTTTTTTGTAAAATACCATGGCAGAGCAGTAGCCTAATATTCTAAGTAAATGATATACCTCTGGTAGAATACAAAATTAAGCAAAACAAAACTCCCAACTCTATAGAAAAAAATATCGTTCAGGGCATCTCATCAATGTGTACTAACACACTGGAGTATGCCTAATAATGTGAAGAGGTGAGGAATGTTAAGAACACCAATCTGCTAAAAAAAAGAAGCTAGATTCATGCTTTCTATTTAGGGTTACCTTTTATGATCACCAGATAGCTTCTTCTGTTAAATAAAAGACATATCAATATCAATTTGGGGCCAAAGGTGAGCAGGTATCAAGTCCAAGCATGCAGCAAGATGGTGATCCAAATTAAGCCAACGAACACTGTTCCCTCTTTCATTCCACTTTGGTTTCCAAACAAACCTTGAAGGTAAATTGGAGCTTCTCTTCTGTATTCTCTCAGGAAAAGCAGTGTGGGCAGAAAGAGGAAGGAGGAAAAGGGTCCTTGAGGAGCTGAGAGTTACAACCAAACCTCACCTTTTGTAATGCGGGTGATCAGCTTTTAATTCAATTCACCCAAAATGTCCTGGGTACTTAATACAAGCCAAGCCCAGCTTATGGTTTAGAAAAGCAAGCTACTGTGCGCTCCCACTCCACCCGCTAAGGGCCTCCTTGTCTGTGGCCGACTACAGAATTGAAACTGTTGCTGCAAGCTGACTCATCGTGGCCCTGTGCACCCGGGAGAGAAACACTGCACCCTTCTCAGAGCACTCCACTACCTTTGCAATCGCTTAATTTTCACTGCTTAATTTTCCTGGAAGCAGACCACCAAGTCCTCCCCCGAGTTTTACTCTGGACACTTTACTGAAACCTGCCCACGGTACGTCATCCTGTTGGTATTTGAAATACCAGTGGCTTTGCTTTTGACATCACAGCAATGTATAAGCCACCACAGTATGACATCTGGCAGATGGCACTAGAATACTAATTATACTACTAATACTTAAACTTGTACCTTTACTGCTGGTCCTCTCCACTTGACAACCCTGAGGTGGCTGCCGCTCAGATGTCCCTTGTGCTTTCTTTTCCAACCCTATCCTAGTTTTCTGTCCTTTAAGCCAGTATTCCAGCACCCACCCTGATACTGCCCTTTCCTCCAGGTATTGTAACTAATACACCAGAATGGCCTGCTCAATGTATCTCCTTGAACTGGCCCCATGCAACTCTATGAGCCACCATCTGTTCTTTCCGGAAGCAGTCAATGAACTCTAGCTGGCTAGTCCTGCTACCCCTTCCGGACCACTTCAGGCCCTTCTCCACAGGGGAGCCAGAGGGACCTTCATAAAATGTAACTTCGGTGTTACATCACCCCTGCTGAAGAACAGCGCTCCTTAAATGAAATTTAAACCAAGGCTATCCTTCTAGCTCATATGTTCTTGGGTTTTTAAATCACACAAAGCTTTTCCACAGTAACAATTCATAGACATGCTGCACCTTTGCTAAGAATATTCCTTCCTCTGTTCTATAAATGGTGAACTCCTCATTCCTCAAGTATAGCTGAGAATTAGTCTGATTTTACATAGGTAATCTAATTGTATCTGGTTTCCTTCCTATAATTTACAAAAGTTTGTAACAATTTTCCACCCCTCCTTCGACAATTCATTTATACTCAAGGGCTGTAAAAAAAATCTACCCAGACCTCAAAAGACTCAGTAGCAAAGCACTACCCAGCACATAATAGGCATTATAATGATTATTTGATGAATAACTATGTAACATCGCTTTTACTTACCACGTATGTTTTTAAAACAAAAGAAACAAGCTACATATATGGAGAAAATCTTTGAGAGCCAGATATCAGATGTAGGTTTAACATCAGAATATACTAAAAACTCCTATACCTCATCAACAAAACTACAAACAACTCAGTAAAAGATGGTCTGTGGACTAAAGACACTTTTCTTCCAGAGAAGGTATACAAATGGCCTGTAGGCAAGTGAAAAGCCACTTGTCAGGGAAATGCAAACCAAACCCACATTAAGCTATGATTACGCC